TGTTCATATATTTAACAAACTGAGGAATTCACAACAAAGTTTTTTCTTGATTTCAATTGGAAAGAAGGTTCTAAAGCTAATGTTTCAGGTCTACAAACTATACAAGTCAAATGTTTTCTGGCTCTGGGTGAAGCACGTTAAAATATCTTCCACTCAACATTCACAAAGTATCTTGTGGCAATGGGACAGTTGTATCTCTCTGAAATGCTTGAGAATTCATGTGGACATAAAATATCCCAGAGGTTATTCAATCCAACTTTTCTGTCAATTTGGAGGAGGCTTAATAATGTTGTAGACACAAGGTGCAGCTATACTGTAGAATTAATGCAGTTTAACACCACTTTAACTAGGCAGCCACCATGTTGGGGCTATGGAATCATGGCAGCTGTAGTTTTGCAAGGAATTTGGCTGTTCTTTTCCAAACTACAACTCCCATGATTTCATAGCTGAACCATGGCAGTTAAAGCTGCGTTTAATTCTACAGTGTAGGTGTACCCATATGTACACAAGTACAAATCAAGAATACAAAAAGTATGTACCTTACTGAGATTGTCACAAATGTAAAAACCATGATCTAAATACCAGGTGCTAGTTACAAACTGGGTGCGCCTATTGAGTTACTACTGCATGGCAATGCAATGCTCTAAATCAGTAGTTCTCAACCTGAGTCCCCAGATGTTTTGGCCTTCAACTCCCAGAAATCCTAACAGCTGGTAAACTGGCTGGTGATTGTAACCCGAATGGGGCCTAGAATGCCTGCAGTATAAATCTGAATAAAAAATAAAAAGAAAGTGGAAAATAATATGAATAAGTAATTACTATTGGAAATTTAGACCAGGGTAATGTGGCACAGAATATGTCATGACCACACTGGAACATAATAAATCCCTGCTTTTAAACAAGAATTAAAAGACAAAGGTCATTTCATGCCATGCCTCAATCAGCCAGGCAAATGGTCATTAAGCAAATGGAAAGCTCCTCCACCAAGATTTAAATGCAGATATCAGAGTATCTCAAATTCACCTTCATCAAGATGGCCCTCTTGGCATTTGGTGTAGGTATTAAGTATTACCCCACCCAATCTACAAGCCATTGATTTTATCGCAACTACAACCTGACCCACAAGACTGTTAGTTGCAAATACACCTACATTTAGAACCTGCCTGCAATCTTAAATTGTTCGTATTAATTTATGTTTTTAAGCTCTTCTAGACAAAAGAACTTATAGAATCAAGAAAAATAACTTTTAAGTTTAGAAAAAAAAACCTGGAAACCATATCCTGGCATTGTGGTGTGTAGCTTTATCCAACTAGTGTATTTAATATTTCAAGAACAAAGACTTTCTTTAAAGACAGTTTGTGCTTTACACTGAAATCACATCTAAATCACACACAACAGAACTCAGCAAGGCATGCTTCTATGTTGAAAGTGTAAGATTACACTTTTGTATGTAAAATAGTTCTAAATTTAATGGAAGAAACACTATAAAGACACTACTATAAGAAGCGACATCAAAGTTCTGGCTAACAATAGATATTAATATGCATTTGGTTTTAACTACTATTGTCAACTTTAATTTTCAACAGAATAAAATTAACCAAACAAAGTCACTGAAATGAATGGTTCATCTTTTAAAATTGTTTGCTAAGGAGTTTAATAGTTTCAGTTACTGTGATTATTTCAATTGTTTCCATTATATAATTAGTTTTTAATTTTGAAGGATATTAGCCGCCTTAAGCAATATTTTTAATGGAAAGGCAGGGCAAAATACAATAATATAAATGAAAATGTATAAATCCATATGCTGTGTTGTTAAACTGGTGGTAAATTGGACTACAATTTCTCAAGGGTCTGCACAAATTAAATATGTGCAATGTTCCTGTGCTTTTTTGAACTAAAATGTAATTTTCGAACTGTGTTACATTTTCTCTCAGTAAATGTAACAATTTCATGAAAATCTTGACTGCAATAAAAAAAATCAGAATTGGTCCACAGCTCTTCCATACCTAAAAGAACCAACTACTTCCATCTGATTTTGGAATCTAAGCAGGGCCAGACCTGGTTAATACCTGGACAACAGACTACCAATGAGTATGGCTCAGGTCCAGGGCATTTGGCAGATTGTATCTCCCTATATGAACCTGTTCAGGCCCTGAGATCCTCAGGAGAGGCCCTTCTCTTGGTCCCATCACTACTGAAAGAAAGACACTTTCAAGGGCTGCTACTTTTTGGTAGCAGCCCTTGACTCTGGAACTCCCTGAAATCCTTCCAGTGGTAGGCTACAACATTCCCATTCAGGAAGACTTTCAAGGAACAATTTATTTAAGATGGAATCAGGGGTGGGGTGAAGTGTTTTAATCTGTTTTTTACTATTTTTTTATATAGTCCTAGATGTGAGTGTTTATGTTTTAGGTATGATAATGGTAATTGGTACTCTTTTTTTTTTGTGAATAATTTAAGGGAAGAAAGCAGAATACAAATTGTAATTATTATTCCTTCTTCAAGAAAACCCTTTGAAATTCATGTCACACCGTAAGTCAGCAGGTAATTTGTACTGTTTTTAGTTCTGTGAATAATTTAAGAGAAGAAAGCAGAATATAAATTATTATTATTATTATTTCTGTACGAAAATGCTTTGAAATTCATGTTGTCGCCATAAGTCAGCAGGCAATTTGAAGCAAACATGTATCTGGCCATTACAATGTAGCACCTAAACCCTTAGGCCAGTGGTTCTCAACCTATGAGTCCCCAGGTGTTCTGGCCTACAACTCCCAGAAATCCCAGCCGGTTTACCAACTATTAGGATTTCTGGGAGTTGGAGGCCAAAACATCTGGGGACCCACAGGTTGAGAACCACTGCCTTAGGCCTTCTTGGCCTGTGGAACTCGCTTCCCAATGAGTTAAGATCGGCTTCATCCCTCCTGTCTTTTAGGAAGAAACTTAAGTTGTGGTTTTGGGACCAGGCTTTTGGACAGTAGGCATAAATAGTGCTTTGGATATGGAATTTGACTGGAATGGTTATACGGTGGTTAATACTGTTTTTATTGTTTTAATTAATGTTCTATGTATTGTTTTAATTGTTGTTATATTGCTTTGTTATATTTAATGGCATCAAATTGTGCCAAATGTAAGCCGTCCTGAGTCCCCCTTCGGGGGTTGAGAAGGATGGGGTAGAAATGCTCGAAATAAATAAATAATACTTAATTTGTGGCAGAGACACTTGGTACTTCAAAGAAATGGGGAGGAGACTGACACCTGGCTGACAGGTAATGCTTAGCTTGGAGGATGACACATTCTGCAGGCTTCTTGCCATCCAGTCCGATTCAATCTTTAATTCAGGCTGAACATATCTGAGAAATGAATGGGTTGAAATGCTGCCACGTTTCCAACCGGCAGCAACAATCCTTAAAAGAAACCTATATCAGGCTGTGACTCCATTGGAGGGGATTTTAAGCAAATAATAATAATAATAATAATAATAAATAAACCTTTATTTGTACCCCGCTACCATCTCCCGAAGGACTAGGTGCGGCTTACAAGATACCTCTGTGACAGGGTTGTTGTAGGTTTTTTTTGGGCTATATGGCCATGTTCTAGAGGCATTCTCTCCTGACGTTTCGCCTGCATCTATAGCAAGCATCCTCAGAGGTAGTGAGGTCAGTTTCACAGAAGGTTTTTAGCCAAAATGTAAAGATTTGTACAATCGACCACACTTTGGGTACACATTATTTTCACCCTTTCCTATAGGGACTGCCTTAGGCCAATAGAAACAACACAGATACATTATTATTATTATTATTATTATTATTATTAGGTTCTTGTGGGTTTTTCGGGCTATATGGCCATGTTCTAGAGGCATTTTCTCCTGACGTTTCGCCTGCATCTATGGCAAGCATCCTCAGAGGTAGTGAGGTCTGTTGGAGTTAGGAAAAGTATTATTATTATTATTATTATAAATTATAATAAATTACTTTCTCTGTACCGCCCACCTCCCAATGTATGCATAATGGGATAGCCCATTAAAACCTCCTCAACGGCATGCATAACTAAGTCAGTAATTTTCCACATCTCGGTAAGCAGGCAGGTAGCTCTCTCTCTCTCTCTCTCTCTGGAATGAAATGAGCCCACAGGCCGCACCTCAGAAAGGCGACTGATTCCGTCAAGCTGAGGCCACCATCCATTAGTGCAGTGGTTCTCAACCTAGTGGAGTCCGCGCGAATGTTTTTGGCCTTACTAATTTTCCCAGAAATGCGCATAACGAGCTGGTAAACTAGGCTGGGATACTGGGAATTGTATGCCAAACACATCTGGTGGACCCCAGGTTGAGGACGCAGCAGGCTATTTAGTGGTTCTCAACCTGGGGTCGGGTCCCCAGTTATGTTTTGGGCCTACACTTCCGCAGAAATCCTATACAGCTGGTAACTGCTAGATTACTGGGAATGTGTGAAGGTCCTGTAATTCACTTATCTGGGGACGCGAAGTTTGAACGAACTTCACTGTCTGCATTAGTGGTTCTCAGCTGGGGTCCTCCTTCAGATGTTTTGCCTACAACTTCCACGTACGAATCTTAACAGGCTGTATAGAACTGGCTGGGATTTACTGGGAATTGCAGGCCAAACACATCTGGGGACCTCAGGTTGAGAACCACGCATTAGTGGTTCTCAACCTGGGGTCCCCAGATGTTTTTGGCCTACAATTCCTTGAAATCCTAACAACTGGCTGGGATTTCTGGGAGTTGGAGGCCAAAAACATCTGGGGACCCAAGGTTGAGAAGCACTGAAGGATTTCCCTGACTCACTGCTTCTGAAATGGGGCCGTGAACGGGCGGGGAAATGGCAGGCCAGAGAGAGAGAGAGAGAGAGCCAAAGGCAGGCAGGCCGGCATCTGACGGCCACGTCCTCAAGGGGCTGATTGTGAATCAAAGAGGGGAGGGGGGCGAGGGAGAGGAGAGGCAAGGAAGGAAGGAAGGCCTCCCCTTTCCGAGGCCTGTGTGTACTCACGGCTGACTTTCATGCTGCCGAAGGCGGAGGGCTGCTGCACGGGCTTGCAGCTCTCGGCGAAGGAGGTGGTCCTGGGCCGTCCCGACATGGTGGCTGCCTTCCCTCCGCTCCCGGCCTCCTGCCCTTCCTCCTCCTCTTCCTGCTGCTGCGCTCCTTGCCGGGCCCTCAGGTGGCGAGCGAGGAAGGCGGGCAGGGCATGCAGAGCCGGGGCCCGCCCTTCCCCCGCTCTCGAAGAGGAAGGAAGGGATGGAAGGGAGGAAAGGGGCACGCCTCGCTCTCTCTCAGGCCTCACCGGGGGCCCGCCATCCTCCTCCTTGGAAAGAGCGGAAGCGGCGTCGAGAAGGCCTTCCTTCCCCGGCAGCCAGTCACAGGAGGAAGAGAGAGAGAAAATGAGAGAGAGTGGGCCCTTCTTCCTTCCCTCAGCGTGGAGGCAGGGACTATTTCTCGCGGCGGAAGAGCACTAGCGCCTCAATTAAAGGGCGGGGGGAGCTGTGGTGGGAGGAAGGAAGGAAGGAGAGAGAGAGCAGGAAGCGGCTGGGGAGGCGAAAGGGCGCGGGGCGGCGGCCTGGCAGCGGGCGGCTCCTCCCTCCTCAGGCCTGGCTCCCTTTCTTCCTGGTGCTGGCGGTGCTGCGGCGGCGGAGGTTCATGGCGCCCCCGCGGCGGGCGAGGAGGGGCGGCTGAGGCGGAGGGCGCTGCAGTGCGGCTGGAGGACGAGAGCGGCGGGGCCGGCCATGGCGGCGGGGCGCGAGTCTCCTCCTCCTCCTCTTCCCCTCCCTCTCTTCCCCTCCCTCTCTCCCTCTCTCCCTCTCTCTCTCCTGCTGCTGCTGCTTCTGTGGGCGGCGTCAGGGGCTCCTCCCTCTCTCCCTCCCTCCCGCCTGCCCGCGCGCGGCCCCGCCTCTCCGCCCGAGTTCCTTTGTCCGCTGCGGCGTGGTGGTGGTGGTGGAGGCAGCAGAGGGGCCGTTGCGGTCTTGCGCGCGCTCCCTCGCGAAAAGGAGGCGCGAGGATAGAGCAGCCTTCCGCCAGGCCTTCAGGGAGCGCTGCGGCCCTCGCTCGCGCTCTCTCTCTCTCTCTTTCAAGCCAAGGCTTACGCAACCTCGCTAAGCGCCCTCCGTGAACGCCAAGCCGAACACCCGAGCCTGGCCGAACCCGAGTGCGATCGGCGGCCCAATCAGAAAGGTTGCTTCTGCGCAGGGCCCGCCCCCCTTCCCCCCCCCCCCGGCACGGCGTTTGCAGCCAATCATAGGAGGAAAAAAAAAACCCGAACCGTCCACCCCTTCCCTTCCGGCATCCAATAGGAAGGCTCTGTCCCTAAATTGTCTCTAGGAGGGAACAATGGGGCGACCCGACGTTTCCCACGATGGAAGGACAGGGCCGAAGAAGAGCTGAGGCAAAGGAGGCGGGGCTTGGACCCAGGAAGAGCCGCCCTCCCCGCCCCATGTCGCCAGCCAGCCTCAGCGGAGAAGGGAAAAGAAGGACTCAGCTTGATGCGGGCATGGTTCCGGGCGGGGGGTGGTGAAGAGAAGCGCCACTTCTGATTGGCTCCTCGTTGCCAATGCTCCGCGGCGTGAGGGGAGCCCTCCTCAGAGGCGCAGGTGCCTCCAGGCCGCCCCTCCCCCCGCGGGTCGCGCGCCTCGCCTCTGAGGGAGGGAGGGGCGCCTCGCGCGCCCGCCCGCCTTCCGGCCCGTGAGGATGGGCTGCCCCTGGTTTATTGTTATCTCAGGGCCCATTGGGTCAAGTGGCCTCAACCCAGTAGCAAAGGGGCCGGCCCTTTGAGTTACCCTGCTTGAACTGAAATGGAGACTGGCCGTTGGGCTGAGGCCTTGGCTCATGGCAAAGCCCGGCCCCGCCCAGCCCAGCCCCGCCCATGAGGGACAAGGCAGGCCTCTGCTGGGCCAGGCCTGGTAGCCCTGAATGCAGTTGGCTCTGAGGACGCAGATCTCATATGCTGGTTCTTAACAACAGTCAGGCCTGTAGTTGGGGGGGGAGGTGTTAGGGGTTCAACCCCCCCCCCCACAAAAAAATTCAGATATTTATTTGTCGTGTCAGCATCCAGTAGAATCATAGAATCAAAGAGTTGGAAGAGACCTCATGGGCCATCCAGTCCAACCCCCTGCCAAGAAGCAGGAATACTGCATTCAAATCACCCTGACAGATGGCCATCCAGCCTCTGTTTAAAAGCTTCCAAAGAAGGAGCCTCCACCACACTCCGGGGCAGAGAGTTCCACTGCTGAACGGCTCTCACAGTCAGGAAGTTCTTCCTCATTTTCAGATGGAATCTCCTCTCTTGTAGTTTGAAGCCATTGTTCCGCGTCCTAGTCTCCAAGGAAGCAGAAAACAAGCTTGCTCCCTCCTCCCTGTGGCTTCCTCTCACATATTTATACATGGCTATCATATCTCCTCTCAGCCTTCTCTTCTTCAGACTAAACATGCCCAGCTCTTTAAGCCGCTCCTCATAGGGCTTGTTCTCCAGACCCTTGATCATTTTAGTCGCCCTCCTCTGGACACATTCCAGCTTGTCAATATCTCTCTTGAATTGTGGTGCCCAGAATTGGACACAATATTCCAGATGTGGTCTAACCAAAGCAGAATAGAGGGGTAGCATTACTTCCTTAGATCTAGACACTATGCTCCTATTGATGCAGGCCAAAATCCCATTGGCTTTTTTTGCCGCCACATCACATCTGAGGACGCAGATGTCATATGCTGGTTCTTAACAACAGTCAGGCCTGTAGTTGGGGGGGGGGAGGTGTTAGGGGTTCAACCCCCCCCCCCACAAAAAAATTCAGATATTTATTTGTCGTGTCAGAGCAACCAGTCCATTATATATTACATTTCTAACAGAACAGAACTTCTTGGGAGGAGAGCAATGTCCAGTCTCGATAAAATAGTAAAGAGTAGAGACATCAGACTGGCAACAAAGATCCGCCTAGTCAAAGCTATGGTATTCCCTGTAGTCACCTACGGATGTGAGAGCTGGACCTTAGGGAAGGCTGAGCGAAGGAAGACAGATGCTTTTGAGCTGTGGTGTTGGAGGAAAGTTCTGAGAGTGCCTTGGACTGCGAAAAGATCCAACCAGTCCATCCTCCAGGAAATAAAGCCCGACTGCTCACTGGAGGGAAGGATACTAGAGACAAAGTTGAAGTACTTTGGCCACATCATGAGGAGACAGGAAAGCCTAGAGAAGACAATTATGCTGGGGAAGGTGGAAGGCAAAAGGAAGAGGGGCCGACCAAGGGCAAGATGGATGGCATCCTTGAAGTGACTGGACTGACCTTGAAGGAGCTGGGGGTGGTGACGGCCGACAGGTTATTTATTTGTCGTGTCAGAGCAACCAGTCAAATTATATTACATTTCTAACAGAACAAAGCAAACAAACAGAAAAATACAAAACTTGTGAGTTTGGTAGTTGGTTAAATGTCCTTTGACCAGTATCTGGCCACTTGGAGTGCTTCCGGTGTTGCTGCAAGAAGGTCCTCCATGGTGCATGTGGCAGGGCTCAGGTTGCATTGCAGCAGGTGGTCAGTGGTTTGCTCTTCTCCACACTCGCATGTCGAGGAGTCCACTTTGTAGCCCCATTTCTGAAGGTTGGCTCTGCATCTCGTGGTGCCAGAGCGCAGTCTGTTCAGCGCCTTCCAAGTCGCCCAGTCCTTCTGTGTGCCCAGGGGGGAGTCTCTCATCTGGTATCACCCATGGATTGAGGTGCTGGGTTTGGGCCTGCCACTTTTGGACTCTCGCTTGCTGAGGTGTTCCAGCGAGTGTCTCTGTAGATCTTAGAAAACTATTTCTTGATTTAATTCGTTGGCGTGCTGGCTGATACCCAAACAAGGGATGAGCTGGAGATGTCTCTGCCTTGGTCCTTTCACTATTGGCTGCTACTTCCCGGCGGATGTCAGGTGGTGCAATATTGGCTAAGCAGTGTAATTTCTCCAGTGGTGTAGGGCGCAGACACCCCGTGATAATGCGGCATGTCTCATTAAGAGTCACATCCACTGTTTTAGTGTGGTGAGATGTGTTCCACACTGGGCATGCATACTCAGCAGCAGAGTAGCACAGCGCAAGGGCAGATGTCTTCACTGTATCTGGTTGTGATCCCCAGGTTGTCCCAGTCAGCTTTCGTATGATATTGTTTCTAGCGTCCACTTTTTGCTTGAAATTTCAGGTTAAAAAAAACCTGGTTTACTCATGAATTACTCATGGGGGTTAACCAAATCCCCATGCTAAGTCTATGAGACGGAAAAAAATCAAGAGTCCCTCCAGATTGGATTACTGTAATGCGCTCTACGTGGGGCTGCCCTTGAAAACAGCCCGGAAATTTCAACTGGTCCAACGGGTGGCGGCCAGGTTGTTAACTGGTGCTCCTTACAGAGAGAGGTCAACCCTCCTGTTTAAGGAGCTCCATTGGCTGGCTGCCGTTCATTTTCTGGACCCAATTCAAGGTGCAGGTGCTTACCTACAAAGCCCTAAATGGTTTGGGACCCGCCTACCTGCGTGATCACATCTCCGTTTATGAACCCACACGATCTCTCCGATCATCTGGTGAGGTCCTGCTCACAATCCCACCTGCGTCGCAAGCGTGATTGGTGGGGACGAGGGACAGGGCCTTCTCCGTGGTGGCCCCCCGACTCTGGAACTCTCTCCCTAAGGATATCAGACAAGCCCCACCATTGGCAGTCTTTAGGAGGAGCTTGAAGACGTGGTTGTTCCAGTGTGCCTTCCCAGAATACGAAACTCCTAGCATCATGTCCCAATTGCACTTTACTAGAGATTAAGATTGTCTGCACACCGCACCTATCTCCAAAAATCTATCCATCTCACCTGTCATGTTCAGAATTTTAAAATTTTAATCATTACATTTGGCCCGGCCTTAGTTTTTAAATGTGTCATGGTGTTATTGTCTAATGTTTATTGCTATTGTTTTAATGTTTATTGCTTGTTTTATGAGTTTATTTATTGTTGTATTTGTTATGCTGTTGTTTTTTGTTGTGTTGGGCCTCAGACTCTTGTAAGTCGCACCGAGTCCTTCGGGAGATGTTAGCGGGATATAAATAAAGGTTTATTATTATTATTATTATTATTAACTCTGCAAGCAAATATTGACTATTTATTCACACAGTCATTACTTGCAGCAATAGCCAATGCAGTGAAGCAACCAAGTTTGGGAGGGGGGTTTTGAATGTTTTCATTTAGGAGACCAGACTTGGTGGAGGTGGTTGACAGGAGCGGAGCTGCAGGTTATTGAAGGCTACTCTGCCCCCTGCTGTGCTCTTTGCTTCAGTGTGAGCTAGAAGGCAGGTTTCAACCCTCCCCCAAATTTCAACCCCCCTCCCCCAAAGAATTTTCTGGCTATGGCCCTGACAACAATTCTGTGGATTTCGAGGAGGCACAACTAAAAGGAGAAGCATGTGGAGAGGAAAGCGCATCAAACCAACCCTTGACCTGACCCCTTCCACCTGGAAACCTATATCATTGTGAAAGACCTTGTG